GCCAAGCAGGAGTGCAGTTCTTTAGCCTGGTGTGATGCAGGAATCCACAGGACTCTGGTCTCCTGGGGAAAGGCCTGGTCAATGATTAACTTGCTTTCTGGAAGCTGCTGACAACAATAAAAGGGAGTCCAGCCCCACAACCCCAACACAAAAAGCCCGGGAGTGTTTAATAATTAAAGGCCTTGTGCTTTATCCGGGGTAATGAAAATTGCCTTGAGGCTTATGCAGTGGCAGGTAATTGAATTAGCTGTGGGATTGGGAAGGCAGAGGAAGTTGAGTGGAAGGTCTGGGAGACTTGGTGGAGTAGTCACTGTGATGCTGCTCAGTTTGAGTCTTTCTGACCAGGCTGAGTTTTGGCAGTTCTTGCTGCTTGCTTCATTTTTCAATATCCCATCTAACCCTGCTCTCTTCCAGTTCAAAGCCATCTCCCCTTGTCCTGTCACTCTCTTCCCATGTAAAAAGTCCCTCTCCAGCTTTCCTAGAGATGTTCCCTCTCAGGGATGCTCCATTCCATCCCCTTCGCTTAAGGAGATGCCGACAGTGTCTTTATTCCTAATAAATGTTAATGTTTAAACACTCCTTAAGAGTTTCTTTTTGGTGGAAAATCTTCATCAGAAGACACTGCTGAACACTTAAGATCCCATGGAAGTGACTGAGTAGGCGGAGGAGATTTGCTGACCCCACTGCAGGAGGGAATTCCTGGTGCAGAGCTGACCAGAGCTGCACAGGGGTGGTGGGAGCAGCAAATCTTGGCTCAGCAGAGCTGAAGGCTGGACTTAACCTGCCCTGTCCCTGTTGCATCCCTGTGCACTGATGCCTTCTAGGAAGGACTTAAGATGGAAGGGGGTTTTGGAGATGTTCCATTGGAATATTCCCACTGGGTAGACAGCCTTGAGTGTGGTCTGGGGTCGCTAGAGGTGGAAGGATTTCTGCTGCCAGAAGCTCCAAATCTCTGCTCCAGTCACATAGAGCCCATGTGGCACCTTCAAGGCTTGGACTGGATCAGCTCCCATCCGAATTTTTGCTGTCTGAGGTGTGGGACAAGAGGATTCAGTGCATCAAAACTCTCTTGATCCGCTCTCTCCCTGTTTCGAACCTGGTGGCTCCAGCTGGCTCTCGGGTGGGGATGGCACTTGCTTAATTCATGCCAAAAATCTTTTGTTAGACGCAAAACTTCACCCCAAGTGCCCAAACCATCCAGGCAGCAACCTGCCAGCTTCCCTGAGGGCGTGCTGAAGCAATCCAAGGAGCCTCCCACACCTGGCTTTCCAGACTGCAAACACGCTGAGCCTCTGGCTCCCCTCCACAACCGAAGCAGCCCTTACTCTCTGCAGCCAAAAAAAAAAAAAAAAAAAAAAAAAGAGCTTGCTGGTGGCTTGTAGGATGTTAATACAATTGGTTTCTCAGTCTGAGGAGAAGCCCTCGAGCAGAGGGGCCCGTTGTTTGCACTCTTAGATGGCCGTGGGGGTGCTGCTGCAGAGCGTGGCTGCAGGTCCTGTTCCAACCCAGGACTGGTGGGATGTGTTTTCCTGACTTTACTGGCCTCAGAGCTCAGGAGCCAGCTCAGGTCAGGTTGAATAGGAGCTAGGCATTATTCTGATGCTGGGTGGAAAGGGTTAACCCTTTTAGAAGCCGGCTTTTTGACATCTAATTACAAATTTCCCCCTCTTCTCCTGTTCCTAACTGTGCTTTTTAAGGTTCCCTCAGACCGTGGCTGTAAGTGCTAATGAGCCTTATCTCTCGAGATAGCGTCAGAAAATACACTTATGAAGTTTATCAGCTCAGCAGGCTTTACATTTTATTGTAATGCATGTTTGCACTGCTCTGAGTGGAACAGGGAGTTATTTTGACTGCACGGATAAACACAGCAGTTACAAGATTTGCCGGAGCTGATAGAAAAATCTCTCCCGACTTTTCTTCCCTCTCAGCTGTTGCAGAGAGAGCTCTTGTTCCAAATAGATCCAGCAGCTCCTAGCCTGCTCTCTGGTAGTTCTTCCACCCTGCTCTGCGACCTTAAATCATTCTTCTCTGAGGTGTGGGGAGTGTTTTGTTAATTCGGTTGCTGAAGGGGTTTCTTTTTGGGGTGGGGGGGGTGGAGAAGGGGAAACGACAGGTTAAAAAAACTTGAACTCTTTCTTTGGAAAGCACACAGAGGAAAGCAGCTCTTCTGTGCATGCACTGCAGGACATGCAAACTCCACACTCTGTGACAGTGCTGCTGAGTCTGTGCTGCCCTGGGAGAGGCTGCAGCTCCTGCCGGTGGGATGCTGGGCTCTGTGGGAGCTGGCGTGGATTTTACGGGCAGGTCTGGCCTAGCTGATTAAAAAAGGGGCGTTAATTGGACCGCCGGGTGCTCGTGGAGTTCGGGGCGAAACTTGCTCTGCCTCCTGCATCTGCCGTGCGCTGGACGAAGGGGGGGAGGGGGGGTGAGTTTTGTGACTGGAGCAAAAAGTTTCCTTTCCTGGAAGAACTGTCTGGAGCCTTCCAGAGCCTGAGGCAGCAGAACTGGCCACTGGCTGTGTGGAACAGGAGGTGGCTTCTTGAGCTGGGGAGCGACGTGTCATTTTCTCCCCTGGATGTTTTTTCTCCTTCCGTTGTTGATGAAGGAAAATCGAGAGTTTATTTTTGAGGCACGCGAGGGTGGGTCTGGAGTGGGACCCCTGGATGGTGTGTGATGTGCAGGTAGATGAGACAGAAGGCCAAGATGAATTGCTTTGACACGCAGAGCCCAAAGCTCGACACTGGGCTTTCTAAAGCTCCTGGAACTTGAGCAGCCCTGGGGAGACCTGAGAGCTCCTTCCAGGGCCTGAAGGGGCTCCAGGAGAGGTGGAGAGGGACTGGGGACAAGGCATGGAGGGACAGGACACAGGGAATGGCTTCAAACTGCCAGAGGGCAGGGTTAGATGGGATATTGGGAAGGAATTCCTGGCTTGGAGGGTGGTGAGACCCTGGCACAGGTTGCCCAGAGAAGCTGTGGCTGCCCCTGGAAGTGTCCAAGATCAGGTGGGACGGGGCTTGGAGCAACCTGGGCTGGTGGAAGGTGTCCCTGCCCACGGCAGGGAGTGGGACTTGATGAACTTTAAGGTCCCTTCCAGCCCAAACCATCCTGTGATTCTCCTTAAAAGGAGCTGGTGGTGACTCTGCTCCAGAACCACCAGCAGTGCCACACGAGCATCTCCTTGGAGGGGGGGGGCTCACCTGTATGTGCAAGAAAACCTGTCCTAACTCCCGGTCAGAGCAAGTTATTACCCTTTAAATTCCACCTCCACCGAATGCCTCACGTTCCCTGGGTGCCATCCATCAGCAGGAGGTGACAGCTCCCCAGCCCTGCCCGTGGGAGGGAGCCGTGTGTTGCTGCAGGGTGTGTGGGAGGGCACTGGTGCTCGCTGACCCCGCTGGGGGGGCTGCAGGATCCCCCACCACGGGGCTGGCCATCTGCTGAGCTCTGGCTCAGCACAGCCTGCCAGGTTCCTCTCAAGGCTTTTCTGGGGTTCTCTGTAACCTTCCCCCTCGACCTGATCCCCTCAGAGAAACGGCCCCTGCTCCTTGTTTTTCCCGCAGCTGATTCCCAGGATAAACCTCGCCCTGCTCAGCTGGGTGCATTGTTTTGGTTTTTTTATTTTTATTTATTTTTTTTTTTTTGGTTCAACTGTTACGGTGAGCTCAGGCCTTTAAATATCCTCATTTTAACGTCATCTCCGAAGATGGATGACTTTTATTCAAAGATTGCCGATCTGATGCTTGGTGATGCAACACAAACAAAGCCAGGCAGCGCTGGGGGGTGTAACTGCACTTTTCTTTTGAGATTCCAGCTGGAGATTGGGGGGGTGAAGGTGCTTCTTGCTGGCCCAGAGCACCCTGTGGGGCTTTGCAGCTCCATTTTAGGGCTGCTGTCAGCACCCACCTTGCTCCCTGAAGCTGAGCCTCTTGCACTGACCCGGCTTTGGGCTTGCCCGGGGGTGTGAGATGGGATGTGAATCCACGAGCTGTGACATCAGAGCGCCTGGGAGCCAAGTTCAGCTCAGGGATGAGGTGTCCACCTGGGAGTCAGAGCAGCTGGTGGGATTGGGAAACAGCTGAGGGATTGTGCTCGGGGTAAGGGTTCTCTTTGAGCTGGATCCACTGGTATTGGTTCCAGGGACCTCTCCCAGTGCAGTCAGTGCCTTCAGGGGGACCATTCCCAGCTCAGGGACACGGAGTTCAGCTTACAGCCCTCCCGTGCTGCCCATCTCCTCTGCCAAGAAACCCAACCCTGGAGCCCAAACCCCCTCTGGGGACGGTTCACCAGAACTGAGCCTTGATTTAAAAAGAACTGACTTGTTCGGCTTAATCTTGACAAAATTCTTTTCCAGCCCTAATCCTCTTCCAGTGTAAGGTGAGATCTTGAAATACCTGGCAAACTTAGAGCCCAACTCTCTCTCTCTCTGCATCCCTGGGCCTCTCTGTAATCAAAGGTGAGGAGGGGGGAGGGATGTTTTCAGCCCCTGCCAAAGATCAATCTCCTGCTGGGAGCAGGCAGGGAGCGATTTCCCCCGCTCTGTGGTTTTAACAAGCTGATCTGACGGGCCAGAGGTGCAACAGCCACTTGAGCTGAATTACAGGGTCTGCCCAAAGATCCAACACTTCCCTTGGCTCATTAGCACAGCTGTGTTGCATCCCTGGTGACTGTTTCTATCTTCTGGCTTGTCCCGTGTTGACTCTGGAAATCCAGAGGCTTAGCCTGAGTTTCAGGAGAGGACTGAAGCTGAAGAGCAGCTCTTGGGAGAGCGTGAGCTGGACTAAAGGCAGCTCTGAGCGGTGCCTGTGGTCAGTGGCACGGGCTGTGATGCCCACAGTGATTTCTGTAGCTGATGAAAATGTGTTTACGGGCAGAGTCCTGGTGTCCCTGCAGGGTGCAGGACACACACTGGGCTTAAGGAGGTGTTTGGAAAGGGGAGTGGGACCAGGAATAATCCTGCATTTGTCTTCTGGGCTTGCAGAGGGATCAACAACCCTGCAGCAACAAATCTCACTGGATGGAGTGGAGATGCCTTAAAAGTAGCTGCGGGTCTGTCCCTGGGGATTTTGTGTTCCCCAGTGTGTGGACTGGGTTCACCAGAGCTGTCCCAGGCACTGCCCTGTGGGAGGTACCAGGGTAAGGAAGGGCATCCTCCCTCATCCCTGCATCCCTGGAGGCCCTTGTGCTGCTTGCAAAGCTCATGGAAAATCTGAGAGCGGGAGCTGGCGCTGGGAGGGGGGAGGTGAGCTCGACAGCTTGGCCTTGTCTGACTCACTGGGACAAAAATCCCTCAGTTTGGGACTGCACCAGGCTGGATGACCCTGTTCCATGATGCCACTGGGTGTATTTCTCAGCTGGCTGGGGTTGGGTGCTCTCCCTGTCAGCAGCTGAGGAGGAGGGGGAAGGGGATCCCACCTGCTCCCAGAGGCTGAAGGCTCCAGCACCGAGGGAGGGATGGGCTGGTGATGCTCTCAGGGATGTTCTGCTGCAGCTGCTGTGGGGACAGATGAGCAGGGACAGGGCAAGTTTGGTGGCCTTGTCCAAACAGATGCTCCTGCCTGTGTGTGTGAGGCTGTTTGCTCTGTTAGCAGAGCTCTTGGAAGGGCTCCTCTCCAGTGCTGTGGATGGAGGTGGCTCTAAAGCTGGGGTCTGGTCTGTCTGGGTGTGTTCAGAGGCCTGGGATAAGTTTGACCCAATTGCCCCGTGGGGTGAAGGGAGTGCAGAAGGTTGCTCAGGATCTGCACAGCTTTGGGCACCTCAGGGTAGTTGAGCTGTACACCAGGACTGCTCTCCCAGTGAGCGGGCTGTGAGCTGGGTCAGGGACTTGGTGCACATCCTTTGGTTCTTTTCAGGGCCCCAAAGGGCTGTTGGACTGTGGATCACATCTGAAAGTGCCTTCAGTAGATGCCTGATGAAGCAGAACCCTCTGGGTTGGAGTTCCTGCTGCTGTTGCAGCAGTAAAAGGGGTTCAGAGGCAAAAGTATGGGGAGTCCTACCGATGGCTTAGTGAGCTCTGAAGTGTCTCTAAGCAGGAGACACCAAGCTTCAGGCTGCAAGGTCTGACTGCAGAACGAGATGGGGAGTGGAGGCTTCATTTTAGGGGTGCAGTGTTGCACCTGCTCTCTCCTTTTCCGGGGCCTTGCTGGGGGATGTGTGGCTGCATTTCCAGGGCAGCTGCTGCCCTTGCTTAAACACCAGCCACGCATTTCTCTCGCTACTGTCAGCTGCCCCAGAGCCTCTGTTTGTGTATCTAAAACTTGAAGGCTGGAGAAGGGGAAGGAGAAACCTGACCAGTGCAATGGAAACCTCCAATTCCCCGCGGTCCCAGGAGGAGAAGAGTAGCTTCGGGCTGGAGCTAGGAATGAACTCCATTTGTACACTGCCTCGCCTCTCCAGGAGGAGCAGCAGCCAGGAAAAATATCAACAGTTCCATTAAAAAGTCTGCTGGTTTGCTAAAGTAGTGGAATAAACATACCTGTAGGTAAAACGGCCCCGAACCGCACAGGAAACATTAACTGGGGCGAACACACGCAGCCCCGGCTCCCCCGTCCCCTGCGGATCTCCCAGGGAAAAAACACTGCCTCCATGGCAATGTGTGGACATCAAACAGCAGCTGGGGGGATTATTCTTAGCTGGGGAAGAACTGGCTTGGATCGAACAGGGGCTCGCTGCTTTCCTAGAAAGGCAAAACCTGCGCTCAGCCTGCTCGGTGCTGCTGCCCCCGGTGTATGTGGGGTGGGGGGAAGGGCTGGAGTGAAAACTGGGGCATGATGTGGTTTAGGGGGGAGTTTCAGCCCTCTCTTTGATTTCTGTTGCCCCCTCTTTAGCTTCCTGTTCCCTGTTTCTGTGGGAATTGTGACCTGCTCTTGCTCTAACCGGTTGAAAAGCTGCACTGGAAACCGGGGGGAAAGCGGGCAGCGATTTGGGAGTGGGGTGGGTGTGATGGCACCAAATGGGGGATAACAACCACCCCTGGCATTGGTTTGGGGTGGAGTTGGTCCTTTCAGCTCTCCACTGAGCCCAGACACATCCTCTGGCTCCTTCAGGACGAGGGGAGTGGAGGCTATTCCATATTTCAGCGAGGGATGTGAGCCTGGAGCGTGGCTTGGCTGAGAGATGCTGCCAGCAACTTCTTGGAACAGAAAGCTGGGCCTGGAGCTGCCCATGAAAACCAGCTGCCCCTCGGCCATGCCCAGGGAATATGGTCTGCACAGAAAATACACGTGGAAAATGCCTTTGGTTGCAACCAGATGGCACCTGTCAAGCACAAGTAGACGTTTCTATTAGTGTTCTTATTTGAGTGTTTTGGATCCCTCCCAGCCCCTCTCCCTGTCCTCCCAGAGCAGCCCCAGAGGCAGATTGATGGGATTATTGCAGCCCAGAGACAGTCCCTGTGCTCCCAGGCCTCATCTGCACAGCCACTTAGCACAACTAATCTGAACTGACTTTTAAAGTGGATTAGTTCAATTACTCTTAACTAGCCCTGGTGGAAACACTCTCCTTGGGGATTAAAGGTCCTTAATTCACTTTAACAGACTTGATTTCAATGCAAATCAGGCTAAACTGAATTAAGGGCACTTTAGAGCCTTGTTTGGAGGAGGCACTCCAAAAGTGATGTGGTTTAACCACCCCACTTTGCATTCCTGGGCTCGATTCATTCCACTTAGCATTGCTGGAGTGTCCCCTTACAGATGACTAATATAGGCAGCCTCTCTCAGAGAAAGCTGCAAACATTTTACCTCTGCTAATGTGTGAACCAGCTCCTCTGAAAAGCTTCTGCATCTGCTGATCCAGTGCTTTCAGTTGCCCAACCAGGGTGTTTTAGAGGTTTTGCTCTGCCTTATTTTTTTTTTTTTTTTTTTTACTCTTATTTTCTTTCCCTGATCGTTCCTTTTTTTTTTTTTTTTTTTTCCCTGTAATTCCCCAAACCAAGCTCTTTGCTTTTTCACTTAAAAAAATGCAGGGCAGTGAGTCACACCCCAGTTTTTTCTCTGCTGTCCCTGAAGGCACTGGATGAACTGGGAATACTTGACCAACAGCACACTCATCCTCCTGAGCTCAGTAATTTAACTCTCCAGCTGAGGATGAGCTGTGGTTGTAAAAGCCTTTGGCCTCTCTGTTTCCCTGAAGTTTGAGTGAAAAACAGTCATTACATGAGCTTGGTGGGATGGGGTTTTCCTCAGTGTTTTGAGGGTCAGACGATGAGTGTGTTGGGGTGAAAAGGGGAGTCCTGCCAGTGCCAGGGAAGATTCCTGAGCAGAGGGGAAAAAAAAAAGTGATCCAACAGTTTCTTTTTCCTTCATTCTGACCCTAAACATTTGGGCTCTGCTCTCTGAAGGGCGCAGGAGGTAACACTGACCCTCTGCAGATGGTGCTCTCCATCCACTCTCTGTGTCCCCACAGCCCATGACCTGATTTCACACCGTGCTGAGACCCCTGTTTTGCTGCTCTGGGCCCGAATTTAATCCCTGCTGGGTGGCCACCAGTGGGGCTGGGGAGGGAATGGCCCTTTTGGCCCAGCTCTGCCACCTTTCATGGGCTGGTGGCTGAGGGAAGGAAGGGTTAAAGCCAGTGACTGAAATAAGTGCCAGCATTGCTCTTGGTGCTGCTTCTCCAGCCTGCCAGGGAAGGTTTATTTTACTAATGGCCCCTGTGTAACTTCACCCTCCCCTCCTGCTTAGGATATTTCAGCTCCTCTACTTAGTTTAGCATCACTTGAGAAATGGGGGAGCAGTTTGGGTGGTCACAGCAGCAGCTGGCAGCTCTATAAGGATTTCTTTTTTTTGGGAGGGGGACTCACAAAAACCTTTAGTTTCTTTAGGTTGGGGTTTTTTTCCGTGGCTCTCATGGAGAAGCACTGAAAACAGAGACTGTGGAGAACACATCGCTTGTGTGTGAGCAGCCAGGTTGGAGCTTCACTCCTGAGGAGACAATGAGGTCTTGCTGAGAGATGTTTCGAGGCCAGGCTTGAAAGGGAGCTCCAGGGCTGTTTTTTAATTAGTCAGAAGTTCTGGAAACCTAAAGGCAAGACCTTCATAGACTTGGGTTATATTTGAGACCCAGATTAAATGATTTCTGCTTGAGGTGCAGCTTCTTCCACTGTGCACTGCTCTGACCTTTGGGCAGGAGGGTAAGGGAGCTGCTGGAGCAGCCCCTGAGATGGATCTTCAGTAGGTTGATAACATTTAAACTGAATTCTCCTTCCTGTGAATCTTCAGTCTGGGGGATGTTGGCCTGGGGCATTCATGGGATTGGTGAAGTTGCCTTTATTTTCAGGCTCTGTAAATTGACCCCTTCCCTCTACTCCTGGAGCTTGTCCACAGGGTTGGAAATACCTGCTATTGTGGGAGAATCTCAGCTTCCATCTACAAAAACGATCAGTATGAAAATTGGGGGTGATGGATCAAGTGAGGTGGTGGTGTAAGGGTTTTATGGCTTTTTGTGATTGCAGGTGGGTGAGAACAAACCTGAGAAGTTGAGTCCTTGCTGTGATCCTGATCTGACTCCAGATTGAATTCTGTTTAGCTCCACCTGGGTTGGAATTCAATCTGGAGTGGTATCAACGCTGCTGCCAAGTCCTGTCTCTGGGATTTGGGGAGTGGTTTGCAGGATACCCAAAGGGGAAATTTCTTTCTTGTCCGGTTGGATTAGGCCAGCATCTCCTCCAGTAGTTACAAATGTGCCTTTAACAGAAAGAGGATGTTCTCAAAATCCCTTTCAGACTCCTCAAATCAATCAGAATCTCTGCTCTGGGATTTGTGTGCACCCTGCTTAAAGGGTTCAAGCTGGAACACTCGTTGATCTCTTGCTGCCCTGTTTTCAGCAGCCTCTGGACAACCTGTGGGTCGTTGTGTTTTAGGTGCCAGTAGAATTTGGTAAGGATTTGTCCTTTTTAATGGTTTCTTTGCCACCTCACTTTTTAAAGCTGCTCTAATTCCACGTTGCCCTAATTGTGATATGCAAACTTTAAAAGGGGAATCGCAGCCAATGTGTTTTAAGGTCCTTACAGGCCCCCCCCTGCTTAACGTGATAAATTTGGACAGCTTTTCTCACTAAGAAAAATAGAAAGCCTTCCAAACCAAGAAAATTATGTAAGCAAATCCCATGAGTGTGCTCTAAAATTAAGCCTGCCCTGCAAGCTCTCTGGGGCCTTCAGTGTGGAACCAATGGGGTTTTTTTGGGGGGAGGGGAAGGATATAAAACCTTGTCTAGGGGATGGCTGGTGGTGTCCTGATGTTTTCCCCCTCTGATCCACCCACAGATTTGTTATGACCAAATGTTTAGGAACGCAAAATTATCAGGGACCATCCTCGCCCAGGACCAACTCCCCATCCTAAACAAGCCACAAGAGTTGGCACAGAGACCTCGTGGAAGCGCTGGATAACTTGTGCCATGTCCTCGTGCAGCATCCGACTCAGAGGCATGACTGCAGAATTCTAGAATGGTTTGGGCTGGAAGGGACCTTAAAGATCATCTCATTCCAAACCCCTGCCATGGGCAGGGACACTTCCACTGGCCCAGGTAGCTCCAAGTCCCGTCCAGCTTGGCCTTGGACACTTCCAGGGATTGTGAGTCCACAACATCCCTGAGCAGTGCAGCTCAGCGAGGATTTGTTTTGCTGGAACAAAGTTACGGTGTCTCATCTGTGACCAGAGATGTCTGGCGTGAGTGTCCCAACTCTGGAGTTTGCAAGCTGTGCTTGGTGAACTCTTCAAATCCTGGTTATTTTAGGATGAAGGAGAGTTAGGCTTTGACTGGTAACTTTGTCATAAACCCCTCCCTCCTCCCTCCATGTGCCTTGAGGAATGGTCCCGGCTGTGTGTCTTTATCTTCCCTCCTGTTGTACCAACTAAATTCTTCTGTGCTTTGTATAAAAGATCTTTCTTCTCCACATTAGGTGTGTTTTTTCTGTGGTACTTGGGATTGTTGGGGTGTCTGTGCAGGGCCAGGAGTTGGATTGGATGGTCCTTGTGAGTCCTAACTCAGGATATTCTATGATTTGAGTGCCTCCATGAGGTTCCCCCGTGGAGACTCTGGTGCCAAACACCCTTCCAGTTTGGAATGGGAGAAGGGAAGACCCTCATCTCTGCATGTGGCTGCTGGAACAGTTTCTCCAGTCAGAGCAGGAGTTAATTGACCACCTCCTCAGCATTTGTGCTGAGGCAGCTTTGGGCTGCTGATGGGCTGGGGTGACCTAAAGGCGTTCCTGGCACTTCTGCCTGAAGCCACAAACACACACCTGGAAAGTCTTAAAACATTTCATCCTCCGCAGTCTCACGTTTTGCTCCGAGTCCTTCTGGCACCCAATAGATTTGTCAGCTTGGCCACGCAAGGTATTTCCATCTGGGGCAAAAATCTCCCCTGGTTGTGTTTCCCTCTTTTATCTGGGGGCTGGTGACAGGTTTCCAGCAAACACAGGAACATTTGTTAGCGTTGCTATCCCTTCCCTTCGCCCCGGGTCGCCCTCTCTCGTTCTTGGCCCTTGGTCCTCCCGAGCTCTCGCAGCCAGGAGACACTGAAATCACAAGTGTGCAGAACACAGGAGGGATAAACATCTTAATCTCGTGGATACTTCAATCTAAATGTTTTCTGAGGCCCTCCTTCGTGCGGGATTAGCCGGTAACGGCGTCTCAAAGGTCGCAGCCTTGCTTTGACTCGCGCCGCCGCTCGAGGTGCTGGGCGCGTGTGAAAGCTTCAGCAAAAGGCCTGGGATGCCATCACTGTTCTCTTAAGGCTCCAGGGAGCATCTGTGTGTCCTCTTGGGCTTTGGACATTCGTCTTGGAGCCCTGCCTGCCTGTATTAGCCATTGTGATAGCGTTGCCTGGAGCGCCCAAATGTGACATGTATCAACTGGCATTTTGGCTGCGCTAAGTGCAAGATTTTTCCAGTGTAGGTTTATATCTGTTGTTTTTTTTTTTTTCCCCCCCTCTCAAGTGTGTGCATATTACTGTTATGATTTATTTTCAGGCTGTAACTTTTGGTTTTATCACTTGAAATGCTTTTGGAAACTTGGAGGGCTTTTTTTTTTTTTTTTTTTTTCTTTTTTT